TAAATGAATATTATTACAGATAGAGATACATTCACAGTTAGTTGGCCTCTCTCATAGCTAGGATGATTGGTTGTCGTCACCAGAAGTTTCACACATTTCACCTGATGGTAAGGGGATGCTGTGGCCCAAAGACATCTACATTTATCCTCAATTACGAATCAAAATGCAGTTGCGTTCTCACCCCTGAGGATTGAGAATGAATGCCTCTCAAGTTAAAAAAGTTAGAGTTACAGTCTATATACGTCCCACTCCTAGGCACAGGCCTCCTCTCATCTCTGAGAGGGTTAGGCCAAGAAATTGTCCGTTGTGCTGCCCCAATGCATGTTGGCGAACTACACATGTCTTCGAAATACTTGTTTTTCATATTTCTCAAACATGCAGGTTTCCTCACGATGGTTTCCATCACCGCCGTTGTAAACCATAGAATACCTGGTTTCCAGTAAATAGGGAGACCATTTTTACCGGAAACGAGGCGTGGCCCTACCCCGGTCAGACCGACCATTTCGTACTGCAACCATAATAAAGTTGCAGCATGGCTCTAGCACGTAAAAATGTTTCATGAATATTATTACAGATTATATTATACATTCACATATAGTCACCTCTCCCTTATCTAGGACGATTGGTTGTCGTCACCAGAAGTTTTGACTAACGGTTATAACCAGTGGAATATGTTAGAGCGATTAAATATATGACGTGGAACACCGACTCTTCGGGAAGTGCAGTCTATGAACGTGTTCTGGATCGTTCCCAGTACTTTACATCAGATCTCATCAACCACAAATTCTCGCAAGATTTTCTCGCAAGAGCAAGGGGATCCCCTTTGTTTTGTTCCTTGTTTCCTTCGATCACTAATAAAAACCTAGATACAAAATCCCATGCAATAATTCTCTAAACACTGTCGCCAATTGTTTTGACGTAATTCTACTTTAAATAAATATACATTAATGTAAATTCAACCTTAAATGCATTGTCTAAAGTTGTATTCACAAAGCTACGTACAATTTAAAAGCGCACCCAAGTATTCGAGTGGGCGCTCATTCAGTAAGGACATTTTTGTCACTGGTTGTGTATCTAGTTCTTTATTAGTGATCAATGCATGTTTTGTTTTCTTTTTATTTATTTTTATTAATATTTCACAATTACTACTTATCAATTGTTTATGATTTATTGTGTTCCTGTTGTTTCGTGAGATTATTGAAATCTAAAAATATCCAAATTTCAATAGGAAATATGGATGTGTGCTAACAAATGTGAATATATCGTACAGCCATGATGCAACTACATTAATGGTATAGTTTTAGCATGAATGGATCGGTCGACTGAGGAAGGACCACGCTCTTACAGAATACCGGCTTAAAAAGCAGCTGAACACCGCTGTGTTTCGTATGGTGAGTGTAGAAAACCGGAGACCCTTTTTATTGGTAAAGAGGCATTTAATCTTAGTCCTCACAGGTGACAACGCATCTGCATTTTGATTCGCAAACGAGGATAAATGTAGATGTCTATGGGTCACAGCAACTACTTACCATCAGGTGGACTGTGTGCTCGTTTGTCACCCCATCCTATAAAAAAAACCTATTTTTATCATATACAAGGTAGTAGAGCTTCATCTATCAGCCAAGAGGTCTTTCTAAAAGTAAAACCCTAAATCCTACGCCTGATCGTTCTTCGGTCGTGTCGGATTGCCATCCGGAAGTCGAGGTCGAAGTGTTGTCTAGGTAATAGAGATTGCACCTGTGCTTACACACATATAATCCTGTTCTGCGCAAATGACTAGTGTCCGTAAAGACTAGCTGCCATGGCCGACAATCGTTCTCGAGTCATACATCTTTGAGGTCATACACTTGCGTTTAACACATCATACTGTGCTATAAATAGCTGACAGATTATTCATAAGTTGTCGCTATCATCGAAAAAATATCTACGCCTAATGACCACGTCTTTATCCCACTGCCAGTAAACACACTTCACATTAATCTTACATTTAACGATGAAGGCCCGCCGCTAGAACTATTATGACGGTTGAAATATTAAATATGACAGCCGGATATTATTCACGCGTCGCTCCGTTCCTTTGAAAAACTATTCGAGGGTGTTAATTTCAAAGAAATGACGCGAGTCACCTGTTACCAGTGTGTTTGCAATATTTCAGGACTATGTTTACATTGAACTGTGATTGATCATTGCTGGATAGATAAGCGTCTGTCAAATGCCCGATTTGTTTTAAAATGTGCGAAACGTGTGCAGAAATTATTGAACATGCATTCCGTACGGGTTTTTTATGACTAAACTACTCGTAAAACCCTCTCAGAAATTAGAGGAGGCCGTGCCCAGGTGCGGATCTATATATTGGCTTTTTGGGCTGCAGCCTAGGGCCCCGTGGATGTAAAGAGCCGTCAGTTATCATGATGTATGAAAATTTTTGTGAAAAGGAAAGAAAAAATAATATAAGAAAGGTTAATTTTCGAAAAGAAATACACCAGTATACAGCAATAAAGAAATTTTTTTACAAAATGGTGATTAGTTTGATTAATAAGGTAGGCCCCAAGTAGTATTAGCCCAGGGTCCCACTTATTCATGGTCCGCCCATTTCTTGCCTAGCACTGGAATGTATATACGTGGTAGAGCCATGCTGCAGTTATATTAGTAGTGTAGTTGTAGCACGAATGGGTCGGCTCGACCGGGTAAGGTCCACGCTCTCGCAAAGTACCATCGTAAAACGACTTCCCCAACGCCCCCGATTCACAAGCCTTCCCGGCCATAACAGCGGACTTGATCTACGGTTTCACCGCCGACCATTTTAATAGAATATTTATTGATCGTTTCACAAATTACTCACTTCCAGTTCCGCATACCATAATATGACATAAGTGTACACTGCGTTCATCCCTTCGCCTTTTCATAGAACCTTGTAACGATTGTTTAAAAAAAAATATTTTAACATTAACTTTTAAACATTTTAAAGCTTATACAAAAAATAATGATATCTTATATTTACGCGAAGACTACACATTAAATGAAACTAATTTTTACGGATTTTATCGCGTTTAGTTTAACTTTTTAATTCCCGACGTTTCGGGTGCTGTAAAGCACAAAAAATAAGTCACGGGGGGGCTGAGGTGTATGACGTCCCGATGTCATAGTCACCCGAAATGTCGGGAATTAAAAAGTTAAATTAAACGCGATAAAATCCGTAAAAAATAGTTTCAAAACAAAAAATACTTGTATTTCCACTAATATTTTGACTTCTAAGCATTATGATGGAATAAATTGTGAATTTAAATTAACTGACCTCAAATTAGTCTTTCAACTAAAGTCAAGTCTTTTCCAAGTCTTTTGTAAAACAAAAGCCGATGACAGGGAAATATTAGTAAAGAAATTTTGTAATCTAAGTTATTTAATTTCTATAAGGTTAAACAAATATAAAATTAAATATAACAAATGGTAAAATTAAAAATGTTGTACAACCAACTTCAATATAAATAAAATGAGAACATCATCAATGTAGTCGAAGTCAATTAAATACGCATTAATAAGGATAACTCAAAAAATAGAAGTTAGATCTTGATCAAATTTATATGGGACCATATGAGAAGCATCAGCTTTCAAATAAAAAAAGAATCATCAAAATCGGTTGACCTTGTAAAAAGTTCTGAGGTAACACACATTAAAAAATACAGTCAAATTGATAACCTCCTCCTTTTCTTGAAGTCGGATTAAAATATATTAAACTAACTAACAATGTAAGACACGGTAGCTAATGGTTAAGACTTGTCCTCAGTAGCTGTGTACTGTATACCGTTAAACTGAGTAACTTTGTAACCAGTATTTACGTTAACTATAGCGTTATTTTATTGGAAAAAAAAAATACACAGTAGTCTTTAAGATCTTGAAATGTGTTTTAATTTATAGAACTGAAGAAAAAATTCTGTATTCACCCTTATGTTTTCAGTTAAAGCCATTTTTCTGCTACAAATTTTATCGACGCTGTATGAACTATGTATAGACCCCTTTGCTGAAATATCTGCATGTTTTTGGATAAAATGTATCTAAAATCTCTCCTGGTATTGCTTTCTATTTGTCAAGTTAATCGTCAAGTTTCATTACAAGCGGTTCAGCCATTCCGAAGATTACCCCGACAAGACAGACAGACAAAAAAATTTAAAACTGATGTCTCGATAGCATGCAAATAAAAAAGCTCAAAAAAATGTAGTTATTTCGATATTACAGACTTTGACACTTGATTTTTATTTATGTATGTATAGACAAATAAATAAAGCATTTTATTTTTTAGTTCTTTGAAAAAAAAAATGCTATCGTATTAAGAAACTAATTAAAAACTTTGGCGTCGGTGCTAATTTTTTTATATCAACATAAAAACAAATCCAGGGTGCCATTTAGTAGTTAACATCAAACAAAATGGTGGACGTTCCGACCAATAACACGCTAATGATACGACAGTTTCCCGCCAATACGAAAAATGCTCCGGTCGAATTGATGCGTGAACTCATAAATTGCTCCAGAACATCCCGCCCTCATAATCTAGTTTACGTAATTAGTTCTTAGAATATACTGTGTTACAGCGCAACAACGTTACTCATAATTATAATCCACTGTGCTACCGATGCCTAAATCCCAACCCGAGGCTCAAGAATAGCATGGACATGACAGTTAAATGAGCGGCGAGGCGAGAACCGCGAAATTATGAAACGTAGAAAACATGACACAATGATATCGTTGCTGAAGTTTATAAAAATACCAAAAAAAGTACATCAGCACAAACGAAGCCTCTGATAGAATGAGACACCGCGTTGCCAATTCACTGCCAATCTAAAAAGTGCCTTACGAACATCGAACTGTAAGAAACAAAATTTTAAAATAAAAGTTATTAAAAAAAAATCACTGGTGCTTCGAAACAATAAATAGAGTAAACGAGACAAAAATAATGTTAGTGAACGTCACGAGACAAAGTGTGAGATCGGACTCAAACGTTTAAAATGTTAGACGTTTTTCGTGGTTTAAAAAATCTCATAAAGGTGAACTATGTGCACATTGATTCGCCTGTATTTCGGTTGCACTACTCTATAACTGTTATTCTTTTAATATCGTTCAGTCTCATCGTGACCACGAGACAGTACGTAGGAAACCCTATAGACTGTATTCACACAAAGGACATACCTGAGGACGTCCTCAACACTTACTGCTGGATTCATTCAACTTACACGTTGAAAAGCTTCTTTAACAAGAAAGTGGGTGTAGAAGTGCCGTACCCTGGGATCGGGAACAGCCGTGAGAAGGGGAAAGAAGATATGAGCGACAGGAAAATCTACAAGTACTACCAATGGGTGTGCTTTTGCCTATTTTTTCAGGTAAGTTACTTTGTTATATTTCCATGTAATGTAATAATTATGTGAATTAAAACAAAATGTAAATATCGATTCTCTTTTTCTAAATTATAGAGAAAGTGATGGCCACTAGGTGTTAAATAGTCAATTTACTTCTCAAGCGTTAGATTACAACGTTTCCAAATGAAGAATTCCCATTACCAACGTTGGAAGAAGAGACTTTGAAAATTTAATTTCATACTTTATCTCGTTATTCACATGGTTCATTTTCAGGATTCCGATTTATACTAAATCTATTGTTGCGAGACCTCGACCATTCATTCGTTTACGATGAAACTATGGCGAGTTGTTATGCGTGCGTTCTGAAATAGTTCTGACCAAAAAGAATCATTGCAACAAATTTTGGGCAAAGTTCGTTGAAAATAAAATGTATTTTAATAATTGTTGGTCTTATCTACACTAAGGTAACCTTAAACCCAGTTTTAGTGTAGTAATGAATGTAGCATTGTATTTATAATCTTCGATAAACATCGTCGGATGCGTTATCGGAAACAAATGAATTTACGAAAATTTTGTTTACAAACAACACATACCTAATAAATTGTAATTATTGTTCATAAGAAAATATACACGAGCAGCCAATAGCTTTGAAATCATGTTATACATTTTTTATATAATGAATTTCTATTCTAAGATCCATTTCCTCATATCCCAAAAGAATATGTATGTTTACATTTTTTTTTTGCTAACACTTTTCCTTTCTATTTTAAATATTACTTAAGTGATAGAAGGAAAGAGTTACATAGCAAATATATACTGCAGAAGTGTGTGACAGAATCAGCAAGGGTTGCCTTAGACGGAAGTTTATCGGCCAAATCGGGGATATATTGAAAATCGGCCAAATTAAGAGTACCCTTAACTGGTTAGCATATATGCGTAGACATTATATAGGCGTGGAAGAAGCGAGAGAAATGTGTCAGGACCGTGCTAAATGGAAGTGCGTAACTTCTGCTTAGCTCTTTGGGCGATGGGGATAAAAGTTTATATACTAATATAAAAGTTAAAGTTACAACCTATATATACGTCCCACTGCTGGGCACAGGCCTCCTCTCATTTCTGAGAGGGTTTTAGGGCAAGGAAAGGTCCGCCGCGCTGCCCCAATGCGTGTTGGCGTACTTCACATGTCTTCGAAATGTATATTTTTTTCTTATTTGTCAGACATGCAGGTTTCCTCACGATGTTTTCCTTCACCTCCGAGCACGTGGTAAATCAGCACTTAAAATTGCAATTAACAATTTCATTGGGCCGGCGGGGATCGAACTCGGGTTTCTCGCGTACTGTGAAACTTACAGCGAGCGCTAACCATCTGAGCTACCACGGCTCTATACTAATATATTTTTACAGCAATTCAGCACCGTCACTCTATTTTATTGCAGCTAATATATCCGAAATCACAGATACAACTCATATTTTTTCTAATTAATTTATTATTTTTATGTACAACCCACTATTGAATATTCAGATAATGCCGCAAAAAATCATGTTATGAGCTATTAGTATGGTATAATATGGCTGATCATCATTATCATCATCATTAGAACCCATGACAAGTTCATTGCTGAAAACAGAGCCACCTACCGGGTCCAAATGTGAATCTAAACTATCCATGACCCATTCAAACACGCGGAAAATTCATCAAAATCAGTCGAGCCTTTTTTGAGTTCCATCAAGACTAACAGACAGCAATTGAATTTTATATATAAAGATATATTAGTAACTAAACTGAGTGGACTGGACAAAAGGACTTTGCCGTCTCCAACATAAGCATATCAATAACTACGTTTAGTCTCCAATGGGCATATACACAACATATTATAATGGCGTTCTGCGCCGGCTTCGCACGTGTGATTTCTGGATCTCGACAACAGCGCCACCTACCGGGCCAAATGTCAAACACACACAAAAATATCATCAAAATCGGTCGAGCCGTTTTTGAGTTTTAGCGAGGCTAACGGACAACAATTGGTTTTTATATAAAGAGATATAAAATTTCGTTGATAAAAATATGTTACATAGATATTAGATTTCTATAATATAAGTTAGATAGGTACGTCTTTTATGGAAAATTTAACTATGTCACTGTTTATGGATTTTATTGGCTCGTGCGATTAAATTTTTATCTTTGTAGAATAACTGGGAATTATTCTTTATTAATAATAATCTTTATAATAAAACCTCAAACTTCTTCACAATATATTGATGTACACTGAGATTTCAACGACAACTTAACCCAACAGACAATCGATGACATGCAGGTTTCTATTAAACATAGTGGTTATATTCTCTTTGGTTTCTATCGTCATCGAAGCACTTGTTTCATCGTTCCCACTGAAATTCACATGGGCAGACATTTTACACAAAATCGTACCAATTTTTAGTCTAAATCTTGTCTTTTTCCCGCCAAAACAGCCAATACATCAAAATTTAGTTATCTGTATAATTCAATGTAGATGTAAGTGTTAATTTATTTATTTAAAAAAAGAACCACCAACGTTTGTATACTCGTACACTAGTACATTATTAGAATTATAATTTACAAACGTAGATAGAATATTACTTTAAATGCTAAAAAAATACTTAAGGTGACTCAATACTAATGTTCTTAAGGTGAGTACTAAAGATGACGTCATGGACTGAAAAATATTGAGAGTATTTATACGTAGATATTTATATCATACTAGCTGACTCGGCAAACGTTGTTTGCCATATACATTAATTTCTAGGAAATATTTTTTAGTTTTAAAAATCGCGATTAAAAAACAGGGGTTGATCGTAGAAGGGTGAAAATTTAAAGTTTTATGTATTTTTCAATGCTAAATCATAATAAAATAAAAATAAAAAAGTTGTCAAAAAAATAAAAAATATTTAGGTGTGGGTCACCCTTATTATTTAGGGGTTTGAAAAATAGACGTTGGCCGATTCTAAGACCTACCCGATATGCACACAAAATTTCATACAAATCAGTTCAGCCGGAGTTTGGTAACAAACACCGCGACACGAGAATTTTATATCATATATAATCTAAAACGCTCTAAAACAACAACACCTCGGGGAAATTGCATTAACATCCTTCTGTGAAGAGGTGGCCTGAGAGCTGCCATAGCTTCTTTTAAAACATGAAAATATTCAACCAGGAAGCGTACAGAAACGAAACACTAATTAAGCCAACAGAAAGTAAACTGCTGAAGAATATTAGTAGGTTAAAAGCCTATAATTGGCTGTTAACTAAGTAAGGCAGGTGAAAAAGCAGACGTCGTGTCGCAACATCAAGGTGCGCGTGTTAAAGCTCAAATATAACAACGGACGCTATTTTTAGCGCATTTACATCGCGACCCGTTTCACTTTTTTTTTTTATTATCTGTGCCGTTTTTAATGGCCCGCTAAACTCATGTTAAACTTGGGTTTCGGTCTTTAATCAAAATGCGATTTGGAATTTGTATGATAGAAATGTTTTATATATTTCTTAAGCAGTAAGGATGAATGATCACACGGGTCACCTGATGGTTCATCTATCATCGATTAAGAATCAAAATGCAGGTGAGTTTGCGTATCTGAAGAGTAAGATAGAAAATAATTTAAAAAATAACTTATAAATAGTAAAAGACGAAGAGCCTTGGTAGATCATGGGCTAAGCGCTCAATGTAAATTTCACAGTACGCGAGCAACCCGGGTTCGATCCCCGCTGGCACAAATAAAATTGTTAACAGCAAATTTAAGTGCTGATCTACCACACGTGCTCGGCGGTGAAGGAAAACATCATGAGGAAACCTGAATCTCTGAGAAATAAGAAAAAACTATTTCAAAATGTGAAGTTCGTCGACACATTTCCTTGCCCTAAAACCCTCTAAAAAAGAGGAGGCATGTGCCCAGCAGTGGGACGTATATAGACTGTTACTTTACTTTTACTTTAGTAAAAGACGAACCCTAACAAATAAAAATAGTAAAATAATTTCACATTCTGAGGTTGGTGCGAAAACATATTGTACTGAAGTTTAAAAATTCGATATGTTGGACAAGTTTGGTACAATACTTAGAATTTTATGCAAATGGCAGCACGATAAATGTCAAAGATTATTTATTCTACCCTTTTTTAAAAAAAAAAGGTTACCTCCATATTAGGATTTTTTCCTGCGTCGTGGAGGCAGTTTACAAACATAAATTGCTCAAGGACAAACATCCAGACCGGGAACAATTATTTGTAGGCCATACAAATAATTATTATATATATTTTTTTTTAAATAACTCTGAAGCTTTCGTTATTGTTCTAAGCTCTGAGGCTTCTGAAGCACAGAACCGTGTTACCTACTTCAGTTACCGATGGGTCAGTTGTCATTTTCTATTTCGTATATGCATCGTATGACATGTAAAAACTTTAAAATTTTACTAAAAAGAGGATACCTGCGGAGTTTGTTTCACATTTTCCTCTCCGGCCGGAGGAACCTCATTTAGAAACGGTAGTGTTTTAGTAGGTTTTATACGTGGTAGAGCCATGCTCCAGCTATATTTGTAGTATATAGTTGTGGCATGAATGAGTCGGCTCGACCGGGGTAGTACCACGCTCTCACAGAATACCAGCATAAAATAGAATAACAGCTTAACACTGTGTTTCGTATAGTGAGTGTAGAGAAACGGAGACCCTTTTTACTGGAAAATAGATTATTCCATCTTAGTCCTCACGGGTGACAACGCATCTGCAATTTGATCCTTTATTGAGAATAAATGTAGATGTCTATGGGTCACAGTAACCACTTACAATCAGGTGGGCTGTGTGCTCGTTTGTCACCCTATCCTATAAAAAAAAAACAATTAATATAGCTGCAACATGGCTCTACCACGTCTTAATCCCAACTAGCGACATCTAGTGAGCGCAAGAATATCAGCCCTCATTACCATCAAGTGGACTGCGTGCTCGCTTGTCACACTTACCTATATAAAAAATAACTATTAGATATTCATTGTTGTAG